AATACGCAGAGAGGTAAAACTAGCGAACAGAATTTTCTTAACATTTATATATATCTGAGTTATAAAACTTAGTGTTAAGGACAGTAACCTTGCCACTTTAGGGATATTAAATTGAGCCGCGGTGACAAAACCAACATAGCTGCGTTTGGCGACCAGCATGGATCCAGACCAGCATGCGCATCCGCGCGCAGTCTGATCAGGATCCATGCTGTTCGCCTGCCAACCCTATAACAAGTAGAGAAACTGATTGCGAACAGCATGGATCCAGATAAGACTGTGCGGATGCGCAGGCTGGTCTGTATCCATGCTGGTCGCAAAACGCACTATGTTGGTTTTGTCGTGACGCGGCTCATTTATTGAAATACTAAGATAAGTCACTTAAGCATTCAGAAAGACGTTCATTAAATTAATGTTTTTACAATGGACTTGCAGGGGTAAGTAAGGAAATATAATTTTGCTTTACAAAAAATGCATGTCTTTTACTAATACATACATACGAATAAATGCTAATGTATCTTTAAGTACCTTAAATACAAAAACCTGCGACAGTGAACTATTTCCCTGCCGTGGGTTTAACTGGAAACTGATCCATGAAGCGTTTGCGAGGCTTTAAAGGGGATTGCGTTACCATTGGCACATATTTCGAAAGTATTTCAATATTTATAATAACAATAGAAAATGTAACACTTGATAATCGTATAAAAACATCACTCGAAAATGAATGTTTTTAAGTGATTCTGTATTAAACATTAAAAACATTTATATAATAGATAACAATATTTCGTCTCAGTCAAGAAATAGTACGTAGCACTTAGGGTCTGAGCATTATAGTGACCGATCAGTCAGCCTTCGGCTTCGGTCCGTTACATGTATAGGGCTGTCTGGGAGGTCGCCTATAATGCTATAAGGTCCGATGTTCTGTTTGCTGTCTTATCGAATCATATTTCTAACACTAACAGACAACATTAATATACAATTCTTTCTTTGTTTATTCTTTATGTCTGATACTATCAGTGTAATTATTTTTTTATAAAATACAGAATTCATTTAAGTTCAAATGTGTGGGAAACTATAAGCTTAGAAATCCAGTAACTCATTTTTTTATGGTTTATATTATAAATTTAATGCTCAAATGAAGATTTATAAATATTGTAAGTCCCAAAGAGCATTATTTGTAAAGATATTACCGAATTTAACATTTTATGTTAATAAAGTGAGGTTTTCTATAAAGCCTTAAATACGAAATGAATGCATATATATTAATGATTACATATAATGTGGACCAATATTGTGCAGTACATATTTTACATATTCTTCGATGTTTTTGAGAAGCATAATTATATGCTACATATATAAAAGTTCACTTAAGGGTGGTTAACAACATACAGGCTAAATAAATATATAAATTGCTTGATAAATAAATAAATAATAAATAATCATTTAATTGTTTAGTGAGAAAAAAAAAAGAAAGATTATTACATTCATGATCATAATTTTGCGATATATTTTTTAACCAGGTTTTCAATTTTGAAAATCCTGGTTATTAGATTGGGGTATGGCGGGCGGATGGGCGGATGGGCGGATGGGCGGGCGTCAAACGAAATTGTGTCCGCTCTGTAACTCTTCAACCCTTTGAAGAATTTTGATGAAACTTCAGACAAATGTTTACCACATCAAGATGACGTGCAGAACGCATGTTCCGCATGGCTGGCTCCAAGGTCAAGGTCACAGTGACATTAACATTGAAAATCCTGTCCGCTCTGTAACTCTTCAACCCTTTGAAGAAATTTTGATGAAACTTCAGACAAATGTTTACCACATCAAGATGACGTGCAGAAACGCATGTTCCGCATGGCTGGCTCCAAGGTCAAGGTCACAGTGACATTAACATTGAAAATCCTGTCCGCTCTGTAACTCTTCAACCCTTTGAAGAATTTTGATGAAACTTCAGACAAATGTTTACCATATCAAGATGACGTGCAGAACGCATGTTCCGCATGGCTGGCTCCAAGGTCAAGGTCACAGTGACATTAACATTGAAAATCCTGTTTACATGATTTTTAACTTGATTTGGCAGTCAAAGGTCATATCATCTTTGGAGGTAATTTAAAAAAGATAATGATATATTATTTCATGTCTACTGTGTAACTTGTTTTTTCATTATACAGAATTATCAATATAATTATAGTGAACAAATTCTTCTGTGCTGAACTCGTCTACATTTCTCAACGGATTTTGTTCAAACTTTCACAGAAGCTTTGTCATCAAGCACCCTGGCAACATATTGTCGGGGTTTTGTGATTGGATAGTTTTTGACCTAATTATGGCCCTTTGTTTTTTTCCTTATACATAATATTATAGTGAACACTTCTTCAGTGGCAATTCCTCCTACATTATTCATGTTTTACATTGCACATAGTTACATTGTTTGTTGCTTGTATTTGTATTTCAAATACAAACATATTTATCTACAATGGTGATAATTGAAAACCTGGTTTCATGGCATTGCCATGTTTCTTGTTTAATCTTAATATAACAGAAAACCAAAGAACTTTAAGCGTTTGCACAAAACTTATCATTCAGCTTGTTTCCATTTTCGAAAGTCTATAAAATCTACATCAATACATATCATACTCAATCTAGCTTTGTTTTCATTTTAGACTCTAAAAGTGGCAATGTTCTGTTAGAATGATGAAAAAAAAATAAGATGGCGTTCAAGAATAAAGAGGTCATTATACATTACCCAGAATAATACAATCTATTGGACTTGTGGACAGCTCTAAAGCTAATAAAACTCAGTTGAACGCCTCGTCCAATATAGTTTTTAACAGATGTGAACTTGTCAATAGAATTCCGTACAGTACTCAATAATGTATTGGGATCTTTTAGAAACATTGTTTGAAGATTAAACCAGCAAACGGTAACACAAAAACTAGCTTTGGCACAACCAATCTTATCGTAAAATGTTTCCATCATGTGTAGGGACAGATATACTCATGGTTTTTTTCTCGCGGGTCCCGGCTCAATATCGGCTATATAATGGTCCAAATAATCATGTTGGTAAGAATTACAAGCGCACGGCGTACAGCCAGGTCAGTAAATTAGTACCCCCACCAGGAACCTTTTTAACATTATTAAAATATAGCATATCAATAACAAATATCAAGTCGACTTGTTATCCGTAAAAAAACATAATTTATATTATTACAAAGTACCAAAGCTCCCTTCGTTGCCCGTGAAAAATATGAACTCGTATAGCTACGATAATCATCACTCCTGTATTATCAATTATTGTTGTTGCAAATGTAAGCAATTGTTGTGAACTCTTAAAAGAAATCTTCTCCGTCCAGCCCTAGTGACATCCTTAGATATACAGTGCTATTTCCCTAAGGACTAGGAGTAATCCATTCTCTTTGAAAAATCGACCAACATACACTAACTCATGATCAGAAGATTGTTGAACAAGACAACCGTGATTTTGTCATGTTGTTCCGGTCTACAGAGTTACATGCCTTATCTGTTTTATATACTCAGCGTGCCTAAAATATTTTTGGTATATAATGTAAATTTTAACATTTATTTACATTTATTGTAAACATAAAAGAACATGGCCTGAGTAAATGTGACGTATCAATATGAAATATTTATTATATTATGTTTTGAATTATTTTATTCATATAAATATTTTTCGGATTGTTAAAAGGTCAGAAGGTGGGGTACGAGTTACTGACCTTGCAACGCGCTTGACTGGAGTACCTCACAAAAACCGTATTTCAGTATATACCAGACAAGACGCTTGAATGATTAGGTGCTAACCCAACGAAATGACCTACACAACGTTTAAATCATATCTTAGTGCCGACGTATTTACGATAATGAATGAAAAATGTAAGAAAAAGGCGATATTTTCCTACTTTGTGATGATGATTTCTACAAGAGTCTAGTTACAGTTACTGTTACAATACTGTAGTGAGTTCATATAAATCCATACTTTAATAGTGATACATTAACTGATAATAAAATTGTAACTGCGAGAAGGTGAATCAAGTAACTATTAAGTATTCGACACCATTTGCCGACCAATGAAAACACTTCGATTGGGTTTTCCTTCGTAATTGTGCATGTATAGACAGGTTAATTTTGTCACTTTTTAGTCTGTCGAACACTTAAGTTAATAATTAAGAGTTTGGAACGAAATGCCACTGTGTAAATTGAATGGAGTTACCGCGCTTAATTATGATGACCATACATTGGCATAATTCTGAACTCGTCCAACGTTTCTTCATACATTAACACGGGTCGTTATGGTTTTAACCCATTTGGAAAAATAGATACACCCAAACATTTTGGTCATTTTAATAAATATATTAATCACAAACGGATGATAACTAAATGACTCAGACAGGCACGTAAACGGCTAAGTTTCACTCCTTTTTTCATATTTTTTAGGGCTTATTTCAGTATGATTTACATAAAAAAATCACGTCCAATACTGTATTTTTTCTGAAGAACGCAACATATTTAAGAAATTCAACGCTCGAGATGATGTACATAAATAATTTGCATTCTGTCGTCTTACTTACCTTTGCTATTTATATAATGACTGACGTAACTCAAATATTAAATGTTAAAATTACACTTAATAAACAAACCAATGAAGGTATCAAAACTGTATATTATATAAATTCAGTCTGTAGATCTATTAAAAAAACAACATTTTTTCAGGGGAGGTAAATGCAGTAACAAATTAAGGTAATGAGATTTAAGTTACTCCCCTTACATCACAAATGTTTCTGAAGTGGAATAACGTTAAATCTAAAATGATATAACAATGCAAATAAATAACGTTACAAATTTACTCACTCTGGATTTTCTTCATCAGCGCTAAACTCTCCACCATCAATTGTCGGTCCGTCTGTGCTTTCAAATACCTGATCAACTTTCGGTTCCCTCGACCATTTAGAACTTCGGTCACGCGCAATAGACCTGTCCTTTTCCTTCCCCCGACTGCCCGGAAGAGCTGCCCGACTCATTCTTAAATATTATAGCTCAAAATCGTCTGCTAAACCCTCTTAAGTCCATTAAACGCTAAATGTATAACATGTGCAAGTTATAACAGCTAAAAATAGATCATTTCCCAGAAGCCTAAACCGAAAGTAGGAATTTTTGTGAAAATTACTGCGCGAATCATTTTAATGCTGACGTGTACATCGGAGTACAAATAAACACATCTCGGTAGCACAAGTTCAGTAATCTTTGATTCACCATGGCTTCAGCTTCAGGTAAATTTACTTTCATAGATATTATTTAATTTTGTTTATTTGTAGATTATAATGTTTGTAATCTTAAATGTGAACAAATATTGCGCATTGGTTTTGACGATGTTACATGCGCGAGTTAAAATAGTTCAATTATACCGAATGAAATTATCAACAACTTAATCGTAGTATTAATTGGTTAAAACAGGTACATGTACCTTATTAAAAAATGCTCGTTTTCATATTTTTATATGAATCATAATTTCACCTATTTTGGATAAACAATACCAGACTACCGCTTCGTGTTTCAATGTTGACCTTCATGCATACATGTAGTTATACAGTGGCGGACTTGGTTTGATAGCACCTAATGTATATTTAGCCTCTCACTGAGTTGTTGTAAATCTTAACAATGTCATGAAAATGTTAAACATATTAAAAATGGAGGGGGGGGAGAAAGACTGTATATTTTTTTTTAGCAGAAACGTATGTTTATGTTATACTTGCCTGATTTTAGTTAATTCCATGCTCGTTTTGTTGTGATAAACGTAAGTCGAACACGATAACGTTTGTTAACATTAATCGTTCTATGATTGGGTCGTTGAAAGTACTTTAATAATTACATTTTGTATTTTTATTACAATATAGAAGAATAAAAGTAGATATAGACACGTAAATCCGAGAGTAGCATAGTGTTGAGAGGGTTAAGATTATGAAGATTTGGTTTCCGAGGTCAAAGCACATTTTTTAGTATGATTTTTCCTATGAATAGTGCGTCATGTTACTTTCATTGTCTCTTTTATAACGCTATTCACAACTTAAAGTTAAACTCACGTACTAAAACTTATGAGGTTTTGATTTTAAATTGTCAGTTAACAGATTGAATAATATTATCTATTTTATGCTGATTGAAACTCATTTTTAACAATTCTGGCTTATATATTTGTATATACTTTTTTCTCCCATTGTTCAAAAATCAGTTTAAATCACCCTTATTACGGCTGTGTTGTCTTATACTTTTAAAACCTGTTAAATGTGTGTATAAATAATTAAATGGTCTCATATAGCATTGTGTGGATGAAATTCCAGTGGAACTAAAAACTATCAAAACAAATAATGATTGTATGCTTTTACGACACCCCTATATGTCAATATTGATGTAAACAGAAAATGAAAGGAAAACAAATTCAAGCTGTCCTAGGATGATAATTTGGTCTTAACGGTACATGGGAAAGTCCAAAAACGGGGTTATCTTGATTATTATCCGATATCGTAAAAGTAAACACTAACATATACTATATAGCATTATTCTTACAGTATCGTTGATGTATGACCGTTATATGACTCTGCCGGTAGATCGAAATTATTGAAACTTTTAGTGTTTTGTACTCATAGGTTCGAACCCCACGTAGTGCCATTTTATAACCACAGTTTTTTCTTCTTGCTCTGTTTTTTTATCATTATTTATTTATTTATATTTTGTTTCCCTTTTTGTTTTCTTCTTATAATATATATTTTATAGTATATATTTATTTTTTATTTCTGTTCTATTTTCTTTTAGTATTTTTTGAACGCAGTGTAATAAAATATTCGATCTCATATTCATTTATGTATATGAAAAAAACCGGTCAAACTTGTTTTCTGAACAATAGACTGTTTTGAGGTAAACAAAAAGGTCTTACCAGAAGTCGAACTTCTGCCTGTACGGGTAAAACACATTACTGACACGTTTGCTCTACCAGGGTGTCCGTTGGGATGTAAATTAAGTTTAACATATAGTGTTATAGAAACAGTAAAGTGTGATGAGATTGATGTTATTACTTATCAATCAAGCTTCCTTTATACATTACCTAAACGATCGCCCTTATATGAAAAAAAAACGTGCTATTAACCAATCAGATCGCTGCACTCGAAACTGAACGTATAAAATAACCGTTATCATAGAGAACGACTTACAGATGCCAAATACATTTAGTCATACCCTTGATGCATGTAATATCTTCATGTATTTATTTTATATCAGATTCACTTGACCTTGAAAATGCGTCATTGTTGGGCGAGATTGTTGAGCTGTTGGATATGGGTCGAGATGCCGAGGTGATAATGCTGATTGGGCAGAGTGGGGCTGGTAAAAGTGCGATGCTCAATACCATCCACAAGGTGTTAACTGGAGAAAATTACACCCTGGCAAAACAAGGAGCCGGCCATGCGCAATCTGTTACCCTTGACCTTGGAAGGTTTGTGTAAAAATACCTATTGTATTTAAAAATAATTGGTTTTAAGATTTTTATATCTAAAGAAGATATATTTAAGTTTGATTTACATTAAATTACTTAATATTTAAGAAGACAAAAAAACGGCGGCCGGGGCTGAGTAGTAATTGTCGTTGAGGTCAAACAACTTGCCTCTTACCGCTGTGGGTTCGAACCCCTCTCATGGGTGAGGTAAAACATTTGCGGTAAACATTATATTTAATGAACCATAACTATTAAAAATCATTTAAAGTTTTTAATTGAAAATCTTCAATCAATATATAGATATGACAATTGTGGTGTTGACTTGAAGACTATCCGAGATGATTCAAGGAAAGAAAAAATTGCTGCAGTTGTACACAAACTGCCACATATAGTTGATTGTGCTGGCCTGGGAGATGATGACTCACCAGAGTTACGTGAAATATTAGAACGTCTTGTAGGAGGTACATATACATTTATTTATATAAATAATGTGTTGTATTACACCTTACAAAGATCTCTTATCTTTGTTTTTTTAACAATTTCTTTGTTCCCATGAAACGACTAAAGAAAATGTTTGTTTTATTAGTTACAAATATCCAAGGCATGTAATGTAATTAGGGCGCATATACTGTTCTCAATGCATCCCTACTGTCCTATAGGCATATTTACTGTTTTCTAGGCGATTATCATGTACCTTAGGCGTTTTTACTGTATCGACAGCACATTTAATGTACTTCTTGCACAACTACCTTACTTAAAACGCATCTATCGTACTTGTATATATGATCTACCTATGACACTACTGATGATCTCATAACGAATATTCTGGGTGTATCTATTCAGTATACCATAGATGCATCAATTGTTCCCGAAACAAATCACAGTACTAAAGGTAGTTCTTTACACATGATACAAGTTCTGTAATTAGGATTTTACTGATTTGTTTTTTCACGACTTTTTTTTATAGGTTTTATACCAAAAGGTACAAACATTGAAGCGTTGCAGTCAAAACAGAAAGAATTTGGTGTGGGATGTCTGTCGAAACTATATCCAAAGTCAAACCCTGCTGACACGGTGACAAAGGTTGTATTTATACAAAGCTGTAGAAATGTCATACCAAGAAACTTGATAAATTGTTTGAACCAAGTCCTCAAAATAACAGACCCTACAACCTTGAAAAGAAAATGTGAGTTAATTGATACTATTTTTACTCTCACTTAATGTCATTTATAAGTACATTTCACATTAAACCATATTAAGAACAGTTCCTTGGTATTTTAATGACAAGAGTGTTATTTCCAAAATACAAACTACAGAAGGGTTAACTTGAAATCTTACACTAATGATATTAGCGGATGTTTTAAAGGGGTATAAAGTCTGTGTTCATAATCAATTTGTTGTAAATGTTCTACTTTATATTATATACCTTACCATCTTATATAATTATATTCATATTCAAAAACTTGCTGTTTCTTTGTTTTTAATTTTGTTGTTGTTATTGTTCAAAAGTTAACCACAACCATGCTTATATCCTTATAATATAGATATACGTGTAAACAATATTATATTTTTACTTCAAACAAGCATTCAAATAATCGCATGAAATATGATCTACTTCAGATACCGCAGAAGTGTTTCTACTGATATCAAAGTTCGACTTGGTTCGTGACCCGTCTGTTCATATCTCAACCGGAAGTGACGAAGAAAGTATGACACTTGAAGAATTCGTCAAGGAGGAAAACGAACTGGCTCCCGAGTTTAATATTGTAGGAGCATTGGAAGCTAACCGCATTCGTTGGGCAAGTTATACTGACAGGATTCAAGGCAGAAATGAATACATAGAGAATATTGCTCTCAAGTTCCTTAGGCGAATGGTTCAACCTGGAACCCCGAAGACAGACACGACTGAACCCGTCGTCGGTACAATGAAGACTTTTGAACTATGCATGTTTAGATTATCGAACCAGATCAAGCAGTTCTTCTTACAAGACATGCAGTTAAATATAACACCGGCTTGGTTTGTTACCGCTGTTGTGTTTGTAGTGGTTATTGCAGTACTGTACAAACTACTGATGTCCAGTGTTTAAAGTGGAAGAGTCAAGAAAACTACGGCTAACTCCGGATCACTTCGTCATTTTCCGTGTCTTACAAGTGAAAAGTAATACATGTATTTTGATATGCTCCTGGTCAAGTGAATTGTCATTTGTTACAGAAAGTTACATTTTTGCGATTTTTCGTGAAACAATTACATATATTTGACATCAAAGGAACAAAGTTGTCACATAATATTTTGTCAATCATTTGTTGTTAATTTAAAAGGCTCACTACTAATAACCCGTCTTTTGATTGTAGTTTGTAAAAACAAAGCCTTCATAATTATAATGAACTGACAATATGTGCCTGATTCATTTAATTATAATGCCAACATTTAACAGTGCTTCCTAGTTGATGAACAACATCGCAGGCAATACGAAACTAGATTATTTGTCACTATAGATTTCTTGCGCTTTTGTTAATTGTCCAAGACTGGTGCTTATAGGCAACAGGTTTGTCTGTAATCTTAGTTAAAATTGAAAATATGGTAAACAAAACTGCTGGTTGTTATAGTAATACATAATGTATTTAACTTAATACATTTGAGATATTTATGTAATTTCATTTGCTTCTTTATATTTACATATTTAATGTATTAATTATAAAGTCTTTTGTACGTTTATATCTATGTATATTTCTGTTGAATAATTATCAAGTTATTTCGCTAACTTATGTGAACACGTGCATTTTGAATTCAAAATGTAAAGTTTAAGCATATATTTACCAATAATGGTTGCTTTGGTGATGTGATTGTATTATGTGGCTTAATATCAGTGTTGATCTTTATATACATAAATTATATATAATACTGCACGTTTGTAAAATCGCTTTTCATTAGATAATCCTGACATTTTATATAGTTTTATTATTCACGGCTGCTGTCAATTAATGAAGAAATCACTTTTTTTCTCTAAAAAGGAATTTGCTTGCTGTATTAAAAATTCGATTTAAATATTTTTAACGGGTTATATGGCCGTATTAAAACGGTTGTTTGAAATATAACCCTCGCCTATCAACTCGGTTTATATTTCCAAAAAAATCGTTTGCATAGGTATTAAAGCTGTCAACTGTGGGTTCGGATCACGACAGGGACTTTAACTGTATTCTTTCATGTGAGGAGGCTATTCAGCTAACTAACGGAACGTCGGTGGTTCTACTCAGGTGCCTGCTCGTGCCTGAAAGAATGCAGTGAGTTCTGACCTATACTGTGTTGGTGGAGGTAAAACTCAACAAAGCAGTTGTTTGCATCCTACCTGGACCAAGTTGTAAATTTATACTTGTACTTATCTGTGTTTAGCTAATAAATTAAAAAAAAACCACTGTGATATTATAATCTGTACTTGAGTTATATATCACTTATACACACATGTAAAAATGTATTATCTATCTTGTACATGTATGCACTATGCAATACTTCTGACAAAATTCGCGTAACTTTATATATCAATAGAACAAAGAGTGTTTAATATAAACTGTTGACTTGTAAGCATGATCACTTACCGGGTCAAGGTTGTCCTTTATTTGCGGTATACTTAAAGTACAATTATGCGAAAGATATGGTTGGTTGACTGTGTTATGTACCCGTGTTTTTGTCAAGGTTGTTCTTAAATCTTGAATGTCCTTAGACATTAGTATCTTGTCTATAAACGCATGTTATCATACGGGGTTTATATGTTTCAACGCTGGAGTGTACATAGCGGATGTGCACGGGGTGATCGTAAAAATCAAAGGGCTGCAAGCTCAGTGGTATTTTCTGATCCCTGCAATCTAAATCGTACTGTATATCTGTATGTGTTTTCCTGTATAAGTTTATTTTTATGTACTATAAGTCATCTTGCAGGGCACCAGAGTTTGATACATACGGAATTTTGCATAACTAGAGTTGCATCAAAAAATAATTTATGTTAATTTTTTATGATAGCCACACTTTATCCTTGCATATCGTGGCTATTTCCTTAACAAAGACACTAAAAAAAAAGAATTAAAAAAATGTTGACCTCGACTGGGATTTGAACTCCAGACCTCTCACACACCAAACGAGCGCGTTACCCCTGCACCACGGAGAAGTTTTAAATCAAATCATTCTAAATTTAGAATTTCCATTGCATGTCGGGTGAGGGTAATTTCGAGGTATTTTGTTGAGGGTCAACCTGTTGTTTAAAGTTGAAGTAAATAATTTAGCAAAAATCTTCTCGCCCAAACAGTCCAACATGTAGAAACTATATATTCAACTACTCTGCAGTCAGATTTATTTGTGTAGTATTCGGTAATCGGCATCGCTAAAAATAGCATTTTCATTGATTAAAATCATATTCATCCGCGTAATTTGTGAGTGTGCATTTAATGACAACTCTATAAGCCAACGCTACTTTCAAAGTTTGAAGGTGTAGTAATTTGTTGGACACTTGTAACAAAAAATTGTTCTTTCTTTTAAATTGCTGGTTTTAAGCAGTTTTGAGTGAGAACTAATTTACGTTGTTAGGACTGTTAGGAAATTTTGTGTTAGACCGTGGATGTTAGCTATGTATTATCTGATCTGCGATCAGAAAATACAAAAACTGTAGCTACTAGCTGTTATAAATGTGAAGAAAATGCGGGCATAATCCAAGAATATTGACCTGGTACTCTTACATTTGACCCTCTAGTCGGTAAATTCCGAAAACGTTACAATCGATAAAAATGTATAAATCCAATTGTGAAATGGTCTAAATTAACGCAGTTTGTAAATGTCTTTCAATCCAGGAATATAGGCGTAAACTTGTAGGTTCCACTTTTAACCACTTTCATTTCCTTTTAATTGATATTCTTAAAGTGCCATTCTCTTCAACCGCCTGTATGGGAAATACGACAGACACTGCCATATATATACATTTTGTGGCGGGTTCATTGATTTGTATGGTGGCACAAAGGTGACATGTATGACTTTTTATTTATCTCGAAGCCACGAGATACCTAAGTCGTGGCCACGAGATACTATGTCGTGGCCACAAGTTTTTAAGTCGTGGCCATAAGATAGCTAAGTCATGGCCACGAGATAATATGTCGTGGCCACGAGTTACTAAGTCGTGGCCACGAGATGCTTTGTCGTGGCCACGAAATAGCTAAGTCGTGACCATGAGATACTTTGACGTGGCCACGAGTTACTAAGTCGTGGGAACGAGATAGCTAAGTCGTGGCCACGAGATTCTATGTCGTGGCCACGAGTTACTAAGTCGTGGCCACGAGATGCTATGTCATGGCCACGAGATAGCGAAGTGGTGACCACGAGATACGATGTCGTGGCCACGAGTTACTAAGTCGTGGCCTTGAGATAGTTAAGGCGTGGCCACGAGATACTATGTCATGGCCACAAGTTACTAAGCCGCATTGGGAACGAGATAGCTTAGTCGTGACCACGAGATAGTTAAGTCGTGGCCACGAGATACTATGTCGTGGCCACGAGTTACTAAGTCGTGGGAACGAGATAGCGAAGTCGTGACCACGAGATACCCTGTCGCTGCCACGAGTTACTAAGTCTTGGGAACGAGATAGCTTAGTCGTGGCCACGAGATACTATGTCGTGGCCACGAGTTACTAAGTCGTGGGAACGAGATAGCTAAGTTGTGGCCACGAGATAATTAACCAATCAGAATGCACTATATATATTATGATTTTTTTTTAAACTTAACAACTTACTTTTACATGCAACATTTATCCTTGAAAATACTGAAGATATTCACTTTGAACTTGTCTTTGGGATCATATAAGAAAATCACCTTCCAAGGTCCATCAGACAATAATTTTGACTATAGCTCTTTGTTGGGACAATTTTGTGATAGAATTGGTCAGTTTGTATGTACTACGGCCTGTTAACTTTGTTTGTACGATAATATGAGAAGGAATAAGTCTTGGTTTATTTTATTTGTAAGGGACATTGCCCATGGAACAGTAGATAGCCTATAGGGTAAACTTGTCTGATGAATAATTAAGAAGGGATAAGCCACAGTTAATATAACCCAGAAAGATCATTGCACCTGATCAGTAGATGACATCTTATAATTTCGGGGTCATTGGGTCAAAAATCAGGGTCACAGTGACGCTAAATGTAAAATTATTGACCAGTCAATAAGTTTTTATAAATGCATTTTTACAGGGGGTTTAAAGTGGGGAACCCCTTGTCCCTATAGAAATTGTCTATTTAAATTTTAAAAAATTTTACAAAAAAATGGGGTTAAATCTGATTGGGTTTTTTTATCTCGTGGCCACGACTTAGTTTATCTGGGGTGGCCACGATTTAGAAAAAACCCCCGGGGGGGGCCCCCACGACATAGAAATTCTCTTGGCCACGAGATTAATAAAAACACACACATGTCACCTTCGTGCCGTAGATTTGTATTATAAACGCGCCGTATTTTTTTATTCAAGATAATATGATGATATTTACAAAATAATTGTTTAAAAAAATGTATTAAAAGGTATCTGAAAAGAAGATGAAGTAAAACGATTTCAAATTAGTTCTTGCAAGTAATCTAAAAACAAAATATGTGTAACTTCATCACGTGGCGTTGGTCAGGAATTGAACCAGAGACTTCCAGATCGGCAGCCCGTCATCTACACCACACTGGCGTGTAATGCTAACAATTCTATCGGAGATTTCTCTTTGGCAAGAAGCCGTTCTTATTTCCTCTCTCTGAATTTTCAAACATGCACACACTCGCAACTACTCGGCCCTTTCCGTCAGTCTTCGGATAAGGACCTCGAATACACAGAACGGATGAGGTATTTCGGTCTTACCTACGCTAAGAAACTGAACATGTAAAAAAAAATAGTAACTTAATGCTTAGAGTTGTTGACAAATTTATTTTCAATATATGTAGTAAAAGTCTACCTAAAATAAGTGAATTCATAGGTACAAAAGCAAACAATACATTATTTATACATTTATTATTATGGCTGTACGCTACTTTCAATCCGTATTGTTTCCGAGGTTATTATAGATAATAGCCCAGGCAGTTCCGAATGACATGCACATTGACGGCGCCATTTTGTTTGAAAAATCTGATGAATAAAGAACAACTTTTTGTTGAATTTTATTCTGAAAACTATCTAGAATGATAGAAAATGGTCTAACTAAGAAGATAAATCCGAACACAAATATCTTTAATTCAGTCATTAACGCTCTGCAGACGTTTAAACAGCGCTGCAAAAATAGTCAAAACAAGAACGCTATTTCAATGTAGCAAACCAGTTAAATTTCACATTTATTTTACTATAAAAAACTCTGTATTTCGCTTGAAATATATAAAGTGAAATAAACACCAC